GCACCTGCCCTGCGCGCTGCCATGACCGCCTTCGACAGCGCCGTGCCTGCTCCAGGTCAGCGGCCCTCCCGGGCAGGGCCGGTGCCCTCGGGAGCCGGATCACCTCACGTTGGAGAAGTTACATTGGCACCTGAAACGTGGGAACTCGGAGTGAAGAGAGGTCTCTATAACCACTCGCCATAACTGACCTCTCTTTCCAGCGTCAAGATGTACACGCTTTTTTTTTTTTTAATTAACTCATCTTGCTGTCAGGTTACTTTATGGGTTAAACGAGTAAACTGTAAAGGGCACTCCACAAGGGTGAGTGCTAGCGCGTGGGGAGCTCAGATACGGAGCCCATTTGAGGACATGGCTTCTAGTGAGACGGAGAAACCGTGCATCCAGGTGTCTCCTGATTTCTTTACCTGTGCACCTGTGGACCTACGTGAGCGCACCTGGCTCCAGCTCACACACATTGTTACTTAGCCAGATTGACTAGCACCTTCTAGTGGTGACTTTCTGTGGCTATATGACCGGGCAACCCAGGAGTTTTCTGACTTCCCAGGTCAAGCGAGGTTCTGTAGAAGTGGAAGGATGATGATCCCAGTCACAGGTACCATTTATTAAGCACCTCCTACAAGACAAGGGTGGTGATCCTTGCTTTCCACACTTTGTCTTTCCTCCCCCCAAGTACCAGTGGGGCAAATATTATTATCCCTCTTTTATTCTATTGTTTTTTACAGGTGAATAAATTAGCCGAAAAGATTGAACAGCCTGAAGGTCACCAGTTAGTAACAGTGCAAGCAGGAATTGGAACTCCTACCTCTGGCCCAAAAAAACAAGTCTGAAACATGAGCATATAGTCGGCACCCTCCCCCTCCTTCCTGTTTTCAAAAAGTGTAAAAAGTGAGCTGACATCTTTTGGAAAATAAGATGTTGATAGGAGTCCATCTACCAAACAGGAAGCAGACTGTTAGGTATTTTCTAGAGTTGATGATGTTCTCTAAGGGCTTCTCAGTTGAGCTTAGAAACCTTGACTGAGAAGCGTTCTCAACAGCAGGCTTAGGAAACGGAATCCAGTGTTCTCAGGAAAACCTTGTGAGAATAATAGTAAATTTTAAGTAGTGAAGTGGGAAAAAAGTCACTTACGTTATAGCCTCTGTTAGTATTTAGGAATATTTCCTGCGCTGTGAATTGTGTTTTGGTTTTTTGCTTCTATGCCTTTTTTATTTTAAATCAGTACGTATTAAAGAGAGAAAACAGTACAAAGAAGAAAAACCAAAAATCACCCATTCTAACCCGAATTAAGACTTTGATACATTTTTTTCTGGTCTTTTTCTTTGTATAGATGCCTTTTGACATTAGGTCATTTTTAAGTTCAGGTCTACAATCATAGTACATTCAAACCAAAATTAAAAGCATAGGAAGAAAAACAAAAACACAGTGACATGGCCAGTCTGGCTGGATCATTGATAATTAGCTTTATATTGCCTCTTCTTTTCTCCCAGCTACATCCGATACTCTCAGATCTGTGCAAAAGCAGTGAGAGATGCCCTGAAGACAGAATTCAGAGCAAACGCTGAGAAGGCTTCTGGCAGCAACGTAAAAATTGTGAAAGTGAAAAAGGAATAAATAATCTGTAAGTTGCTGATTGATTTAGAAAAAGAGTTACATTTTAAGTTTTTGGAGCACTTTTTAAAATCAAAGTGATTTTAGTTTTGAGGCCTGTCCATTTCTGATCAATCAGTACGTTTAGAAGTTAATGGGGCAATCATTTAAGGCATACAGCTCATAGAAGTCCTGTGGTGTAATCAAAGGATGTCATTTCGGGGTCCTGACAAGCAGAAGTAATTGGCACATTGATTTTCAGTTCATTTAGCAATGCTTATTTTAATTAAACCTGTTTCATTTGTCTGCACAAAATCAAGTAATTCAGAGGATAGACTCCCCACTTTAATAATTGCTGTTGGAGTTACATAACAGTTCAGGAGCATGAAAAATTACAGTTCTTTGAGTTTTTATTTCCCCCACATCTGCTAATGTTCTCACAAATCACTGCTTCCTGAGCATAAGGGCTACAGGTACAGCCAGGGTCCCACTATTCTATCAAGCACCAAAGTCTGCAAGACCCCGCAGTGAACAGTGCTTTGCTAAATGTGCTGTGGTTTCAGAGTTTGGTTCATTTTACGTCTCAAAAGGTGTTGGCAATGCTGAGTTACATTCTGTGCAGTAAAAGACAGTTTTGTACAGTTAATAAGTTTGAGACTTTTGTCTCCAAACTACTCAAGTGATTTGATCTCTAAACCACTTTCTTGACACTTTTATTTCAAAGATAAAAGAGGCCAATTACCAGATATGTTTCTCAGATTTAATTTTATTGTTTTGCTTTACAAAAGCCTCAGACCCCCAGTAGCAAGGAAATGTGATAAATATTAATCGTTTGGCAGCTTGTGGTGATGAGCAATCTTACTTATTGGAACCATCTCCCCTAGGCACTTCTCATTTTCATTTTGAATTAGTAAATATTTTATTACAGGTCTGGAGATGCAGTGTTTTGAATTTACCCCTTGTTCTTGGGGCTCTCTGTCTAATCTCCTAATTCTAAGTAGTGAGACCTGGTTTTAGGTCCAGTTGTTTTCTTCTAACAATGAGCCAGCTGAGAAAAATTAGTCGGCCTCTGCCTGCAGCATGGCTGAGCCAGTTTCTGCAGCGAACTCCGTTGCCCTTGTGTTGTCCTTGGGGCCAGGAAGGTAAACAGAACGACCATTCTCTATGTCCTGCAGTGGAGGTGGCCCTGCCACCTCAGCACGGGGACCTTAGCATCTTTTAAAGGAAGAGTGTTTCTTGCATTGCCAGGAGAACGTTTGGCTTCCTTAGCAGGGAAGTGCCTCTTGGACTGAGGCCGAGCACGGGAACCAGCACTCTTTACAGCTGAGAGACAAGGTTTATCGCCACCTGAGTAAACTGAACCACGGTCATATTGTCCCTTCCATTATAAGGAAGTTACTTCCCCCATGCATACTGGATCTTTAAGAAAGCATGACGGACTGACAACCTGCATTTTCTCTTTTCCTCCTAGACCCCAACTTCAGCTTGAAATGCTGCCCTTCTGAGGGGAAGCTGTGTGGGCACGTGTGATGGCAGAGGGAGAACAATCTCACCTCATGGGAAGCGTCCTGTCTCACTCATAGGTTGACGATGCCAATAAACTGAAGTGTGGCTCACTCGTGCTGTTGGTTTTTGGTGTCCGTCAGACTTTCTGTTTATAGGGACTGCACAGCTGCAGGGTTACGACCGGAGAAATTGGGGTTTTTTAAAGCGGGGAGCAGATATCATATCTAGTGACCAAAGGGATACAGGAGACATTTTGAAAATGTCTCAAAATAGAAAGTTCTCTTTTTCAAGACAGAACTAGGCTCTGTAATCGAGGCTCTCTCGGGCCCTGTCTTTGTGTGAGGCGAACGTGATAACCACTACACTACGGAAACAACCTTCTCGGGCCCTGTCTTTGAATTGCAGAAGCCATGTGGAGCCGGTGCGGGCACCTGTCTGCTGGCTCACCCCGCGGTGTACGTGGCGGGGTCTCAGGGATGCTGCTGCGCCCACAGGCTCAGTGGGACTAATTACTAAAAGCATAGATTCGCAGGGAAGAAACAAAACTGCGGTGTCCACTTTTTATTGTGCACTTAAAACCTACAGAGAGGAACTGTTAATGTTGGAATTTACAAAGCACAAAATGCTTTTCCAAAAAAAAAATAAAGGAAAAGATGCTTTTCACATTATATTATAAATGAACCCTCATATTCTGGAAGCATTTCTCACAGGAAGCAAGGCAGAGCTCTTCAGCGACTTGCTTACTTAGTTGATGGCCCAGCTGTGCTGAAAATCGAAGCTTCTGGACTGAGGCCTCTGGCGTGGTGATGGCAGCAGCCCTGTAGTGTTTGTGGTGATTTATTCGTTAAATGTTTAGGAGTGAAGAATTGTTGCAAGTGCTGTGTTTTTCTGTCTTTGAAACTCAGAAGCACTTGGCCGACTGAAACACCATTGCAGAGTTAACTGCTTGAGTGTTCACTGTTTTGGGAGAATGGAGTAATGCATTTGGACAGGAAATCTTGAAGCACTGTTGAGTTTCTGCACTGGGACCGGTTCTCACCTTGGTCCTTAAACTAAGGATAATCTATCAGGGTCACTCAGCAGTGCGGAGAAGGAGGAGCCCAAGAAAACATCTTTGTTCTCAGCTTCTGGACTTCCTGCCCCGGGACCCTTGACCCATAGGTTTTGTCTGGCTCTCAGCACAGGGCACACAGCAAGGCGCTGGGGCGCTGGCCAGGAGCAGTTCCTGAGCCCCGCAGGCCCCTCGAGCCCTGTACCTCAGGGCTGTTGTCCTGCTGGTTGAAGTCATGGCCCTCAGTTAGTGCTTCGGTCCCCAAGATGAAGGTATCAGGAAGCGTGTGTTTCATTACAGGGACAGGAATAAATGAATCACAAGGCTGGCCGGCCTTTTTGATACCAGATAAAGTAACTGGTAGGCAAAGGGCTAAATTATTTCCAGCCAAGTTAATTAGAGATAAGTCATTTATGAGGGAGGCTGAGGGGATAGAGGTGCGACTTGGGGCTTGTGAAAGGCTCCAAGTAACAGTGAAGGACAGAATCGCTGCTCAGTAAAGATTCTTTAAGGCTCGCTCTCTGTGATTAAAAAAAATGCTGAATTGATGCTCGGAGGACCTGTATCCAGCCCTGCTGGGCAGCCGGCAGGACGACTGTGTCCAGGTTACCAGGGGCCTCGATCACGTCCAGCGGTGGGTATTTCACTCACTAACTGGGCAATTTTTGAGAGTCGGTCTCTTCACTCATGCGGTGATCTTGTGTATGACGTGAAGGACTCGGACAAGCTCTAAAATTCTGATTCTGCTGTCTTGGTCTCCGAGAGACCAGTGTCTCTGTAGCAACCGTGCCACTAAAGAAACAGGCTCTTCAAAATCGGAGGGGACAGATTTCTTTTGGTTTCTTGTGGTTTTGTTTTTTTTTTTTTTTCTTGTTTAAATCTATTTCTACCATACCAAAGAGTAGGATGGTGAGATGCATTTTGAAATATTTTTAACTCAAATTAATCAGTCTGGGCAGTTAGGCTCCAAGAAAAGGAATTTATTTAGTCTGAAATAAAGTAATTTAGCCATTTAAAATTGAATTTCTTTGTACTTTAATGATTACCATCAAGCAAACAAAAATCTTTACAGTAATATAAATCAGCAGGGTTTTTTTTTCATTTAGATCTATATCCTTTCTTACATCTATTTAATTGCCTTTTTAGATTTGAGGGGGAAAATGTTAGGAAGCACGTGTATAAATTCTTATATAATCACAACTTAGAAGTCTAGCATCTAAGGAAGTTACGAACTTCAGACTAAGTTTAGGTGCAGCTTCTTCCTCAATTTGCTTTTTTTTTTTTTTTTAGTGCCTCTTGAACCACAAGTAGAAAGTGTTTAAAATTTCTTTAAAAATTCCGTAAATACAAGGCCTATCATGGTAAAAAAAAAAAAGCAAGACTTCGTTTCCTCTTAGTATATATTTTAGTTATTTCCTCATGATGCATACGTGAAGAGTGAAGTTTCTCAAAATGAGCTGCTGTCATCCGTCTACTGGCTACCTCGTTACTGCAGATTCCAAAGCAGATCGGGAGAGGAGAACCCTGTTGCCTGCAGGTACCTGTTTCCTGCAGCGAGGGTCACAGCATCTTCCCATCACTGGCCATCCGTGGATCAAACAGTATAGCTCCGTGGTAATTCAAGAAGGCCATTAAAACCCTAACAGTGCTGGAAGGGCTGGCAGTGCTGTATGTCAGAAATAGGTAGACTGTAATTAAGAAGTTATGGATGATTTGATTACGCTCTTGTGTATCTGGTCCTGTTGTAATGGGAGCAGATTAAAATCGTGTAATGGTTAAAGCTGTGTCATCATGCAAACATTTATGGCAACTTCTGCAAATTAATTTGAACTGTAAAAGTTCCCTAATGAGACCATGTCCTCCTTGAGCGCGCGAAGGACACTGCAGCCACTGCTGCTTATTTCATTTCTGCATCGGAATGGTCGCCAGGCGTGTGTGTGCCCTTTCTAAAGAGCAGAGCAGCTTTCAGGAGGTGATTACTGAATGCAAGTGAAAAGGGCACTTCCAAGTAGCCTCTACAAGGAAAACCAAAGATGATGATTAATGAATTCCTGGAATCAAAGACTAATAAGAAACATAAAGTATATAAATATGTATGCTGAAAGCTAGCTATTCAGAAGATTGGAGCTGTTGAGTTTTGCTTGTCATTTTTTATTTTTTGGTGGGTATTTTTGTGGGAAGAACCACGGCTTTCCTTTCTGCCCTCTTCCCCTTTGCAGTTAGGATGCTGAAGTGTACATGGGGTCTCCATGATTTGCTAGTGGACACTGACTCCCATTTATCTCGAGGCTCCCACACACCAAGCAGCCACCCGGCTTTTCTGGAGGCCAGCAGGTGGGTGCGGGGCAGCGCGTTAAGAAGAGGCAACCCGCAGGAAGAGCCGAAGCAGCCCTGGGAGGCCAAGAACAGACTCCGGAGCGCTCACCAGGGCGCTAACACGTTTACAACCTAAAGGCAAGGGCAGTGGGCGCCCTCCCCGCGTGTGCACGTGTGCAGTCTTGATGCCTGGCTGCATGCTAGGCGTACAGAACTCCCCCCTCCCGACCTTTAAACAAACGGTGAATTCACTTGGCTGTTAAAAACAAGTGACTAGAGTGTGCATTGAAGAGCAAACTCTTCAAGGTTAGTAAATGCCAGCCAAAGACCCTAATGCCCATCAGTTACTCACTTCCCCCCACCCCACACCCAGCCCCGTGGTGCTGTGTCAAAGCGCATACTGGGTGGCTGCTGTCGCTGCTGTGGCTCGCTGGGCTGCAGTGCAGAATCGCTTTGGCTTTACTGCAGGGAAATGCTCCTCTTAAGACTTGAGAGAAACTGCTCTGGAGGTGACCACGCCACAGCCGACACTCACACAGCTTCTCTCTGGTTAATGTCCCTGACCTTCTAGTTCCTGGTCTGCCTCGGCCACCACCTCTTCGTTCTCCTCCAGAACCACTTTGGTGTCTTGAAACTGTTGGTACTCGGACACCAGATCATGGACATTGCTTTCAGCTTCCACGAATTCATTGACGTCCATCCCCTCGCCCGTGTACCAGTGCACGAAAGCCTTCCTCTTGAACATGGCCGAGAAGTGCTCCGAGACCCTGGTGAACAGCTCCTGGATGGCCGTGTTGTTGCCAATGAAGGTGGCGGCCATGTTCAGCCCCCGGGGCGGGATGTCGCAGACGGCCACCTTGACGTTGTTGGGGATCCACTCCACGAAGCAGCCGCTGTTCTTGGTCTGCACGGAGAGCAGCTGGTCGTCCACCTCCTTGGTGGACATCTTCCCCCGGAAGATGCAGGCCACGGTCAGGTAGCGGCCGCGGCGCGGGTCGCAGGCGGCCATGGTGTTGCGGGCATCGAACATCTGCTGGGTGAGCTCGGCCACCGACAGCGCGCGGTACTGCTGGCTGCTCTGGGCGGTGAGCGGCGCGAAGCCGGGCATGAAGAAGTGCAGGCGCGGGAAGGGCACCATGTTCACGGCCAGCTTGCGCAGGTCGGCGTTGAGCTGGCCCGGGAAGCGCAGCGAGGTGGTGACCCCGCTCATGGTCAGGGACACCAGGTGGTTGAGGTCCCCGTAGGTGGGCGTGGTCAGCCTCAGGGTGCGGAAGCAGATGTCGTAGAGCGCCTCGTTGTCGATGCAGAAGCAGGCGTCGGCGTTCTCCAGCAGCTGGTGGATGGACAGCACCGCGTTGTACGGCTCCACCACCGTGTCCGACACCTTGGGGGAGGGCATGACGCTGAAGGAGTTGAGGATGCGGTCGGGGTACTCCTCGCGGATCTTGTTCATCAGCAGCGTGCCCATGCCCGAGCCCGTGCCCCCGCCCAGCGAGTGCACGATCTGGAAGCCCTGCAGGCAGTCGCAGCCCTCGGCCTCGCCCCGCACCACGTCCAGCACGCTCTCCACCAGCTCGGCCCCCTCCGTGTAGTGGCCCTTGGCCCAGTTGTTGCCGGCCCCGGAGTTACCTGCGGCACAAGGGACTCCGGTTACCCCGGCCGGGTCGGGGGAGGGGCGGGGAGTGGAGCCAGGACGTTCCCCTCCCCTCCCCTCCCCCGCAGGCATGCTCCTCTCTTTCCTGGGCGACCCTTCCCGGAAAAACCTACTGTGGACAAAGCTGTCTGGTTGGAAGAGGGCTCCTAGTCGGCTGGATCGGATGCTGTCCATGGTCCCAGGTTCCAGGTCCACCAAGACTGCTCGGGGCACGTACTTCTTACCTGGGTAGAAAAATAGGAGGATGTCAGCAAACTGTTGTTTTTCTAAAGGTTAATGTTTCATCCAAACAAAACCTTGTGACACTGGTTCAAAAAAAAAACAGAAAAGAAAAAGTGATTCTAGAAGGTAGGTCTTTGGTAGAAAAACTTGAAATCATATCTTTGACCTCAACAGCAATCACACCCATCAGTAAAATAGTCCAGGAATCCTTTTTCCATCACTGTCTATGTTGTTGGCTGTCTCACCAGTGACAGAGGTTTTGCTCCGATTGGAAACAACTCTGCTTTCCATTTAAACATCAGAAAGGAAGGTTGATACTTAAACTGCTGGTGCTAAGAGCTTGCCCCCCCCCCCCAGTGATGTCCTCGGCAGTCCTGCCCTTGGACGGGGGGGACCGTCACCCTGGGACTCTGGGCTCTGCCTGGACATCACTCCTCTGGCCTTCTGGTCTCGGGGGCCCTCCTCGCTCTGCGTGTCCCAGGGCCGGCGATCATCGCTAATGGTGCAGGTCCTACCTTGGGCCTCGTTGTAGTACACGCTGATTCTCTCCAGCTGCAGGGCACTGTCCCCACGGTAGCTCCCAGCCACATCGATACCATGCTCCTCGCCAATCACCTCCCAGAACTGAAAGCAAGAGGGAAGGTCAGTGTACAGGGGATCCCGAAAAGCCATGTTGGCACCAGCAGATAGAGCAGAAAGACCGAAAGTGAGGGCTGTGGGCCTGCTTCCCTTCCCAAAGCCTTCTCTGGGGCCCTTTTCCTAACTGCCCGCTCCACTGTGTCCTTTCCTCTTGCTCGGCTAACCATGAATATGACGATTGCGTTTTATACCCACCTGCACTGCTTAAATAAAATGTCAACACATACAATATGAGATTGGATGTTGCTCCTATTAAATTCAGGCCCTTGTCTACATTAAAGCTATTGTTTTGGAATTTCGCATCAGACAAGGTGTCTCTAGTCTCGTCTCCCAGTGCTTCCAGCCAGCGTAGATCACATTACACGAAAATAAACGGAATTCTTATCTGATTTCACAACAATGTCTCATTTCACTTCACGGATTTATTTTTGAGCAGTTTTCCCCAAATCTTGTAACTGGGACATCTACATGCTCTTGTAACAATTTGAAAGAGATTACACTTTCAATCACATAAGAAGTATTTATTAATATAGGTGTTTGCCAGCTCTTCACACAGAAACAGTTACTGAGATGGCCCTTTTTCATGACCCTGGAGAAGCCCGTACTGAAGTGCAATGAGTGGGGGAGGGTAGAGCTCATGCCGAGCATGCACAAAGACCTGGACTCAACCCACAGTCCCTCCATTTGGAAAATAAATAAGTAAATAAATAAACCTAATTACTCCCACCCCCACCCCAGGAAAAAAAAAAGTGCAATGAAAATACATTTGTTCATGTTAACATCCCCAAGGGTGTTTTCCCAACCGTATCTTGTAAATGAGGGCTCTGTTTTGGCCTTACTGACAAGGCTCTGTTTTATAGTAAATTATCGGCACTGTTCAGGGTGTAAAAAAATAAAGTTCTATGACATCACAAAGGAAAAGTGTCTTAAAGCTCTTATGGCCCCAAATGCTTGTCATTCTAAGTGAAATAAGCCCGAAAGAGGGAAAAATATTACCATATGATAGCGCTTATATATGGTATCTAAGAAAACAAGGGACACAAATGAACTACTTATTATTTACAGCTTAGATGACTGATTTCTTGATTATGGGTAAGCACATTTGACTGTCCTTTATGATTGGATTACTGTGTTCTGTTGACTTGTATTTTGTGGTTGGCTCTATTCCTTTGATAACTATGTAAGTTTAAAAAGCTAAAGCTCTAAACTGCTCTTAGAAACAATGAACAGTACATATATGTAAATTTAAAAGTAATTAATTAATTTTTTAAAAAGCTCTTATGGCCCCAAATAGTAAGGAGTTGCTGGGGCTCTAAGCACTAGACAAGGCAATTCTGGATCAAGAGCTAAGGCCCTATCTAGACCGTGCACTCCCCCTTGAGGTCCTTTCTCTATATTATCTTCCACCTTCAGGGCAGTGGGGGCTCATGCCTCCCACTTCTCTATGTGTTTTAGTTTTGAACGTCTTATCACTCTGGCAAGGAAGGATGACAACTTCTTTTCAGGCAGTTCTTTTTTTTTTTTGCCCCAGGTCTTAAACACCTGTATTAAAAGACTTTCGTGTTTTCATAGCTGCATTCTTTACAATAGACAAAAGTTGGAAACAATCCAAGCACCCACTGGCAGATGACTGGATAAACAAAATGTGGTCCGTCCGTACAATGGACTATTATTCAGCCTTAAAAAGGAAGGGAATTCTGACACAGGCTGCAACAGGGATGAACCTTGAAGACATGATGCTAAGTGAAAAAGGCCAGTGACAAAAGAGCAAATACTGTTATATAAGATACCAGAAGTACTCAGATTCACAGAGACAGAAAGCAGAGGGGTGGTTGCCAGGGCTGCGGGAAGGGGAAATGCAGACTTAGCGTTCCTAATGGGTATAGAGTTCCAGTTTTGCAAAAAGAAAAGTGTTTTGGAGTCTGGATGCGTGACAGGGTGAATATACTTAACACTACTGAACTGTACACTTAAAAATGGTTATAATAGTCAATTTCATGCTGTATTTTACCACAAGTTAAAAAAATTTTAGGTATTTTTCCCTTTTTTTTTTTTTCTTTCTTTCTATTTTAATGGAGGTACTGGGGATCAAAGCCAGGGCTTGGTGTACACTAAGCATGAACTCTACCACTGAACTATACCCACTCCCCTTAAATTTTAATGCAATCAATTTTTTTTTTTGGTACAGGGAGGTAATTAGATTTACTTATTTATTTATTTTATTGATGGAGGTACTGGGGATGAACCCAGAACCTTGTGTATGCTAGGCATGTATTTTACCTCTGAGCTATACCCTCCACCCTGCAATTAAATTTTTAATGCAATTCCTACCTGGTAAAAGTAATTTCAAAATAGCAAAGAGAACGATCAGACAGCTGTTACACAGTAGAACTGGTCATATTAAAATTCAAGTTAAAGACCTTGTGCCGTCATCTCCATTTTAGTGTCAGCCAACAGAACCAGGTACTTTGCAGAAAAATTTAAGGGGGTGAGGAGAAAAACTCATTTATAATCCAGAGGATATATTTTAATTATTTCTGTTGCTGGACACAAAAAGCTTTTAGGTTTACCTCTTTAATTTTGTGCTGCATTTGAAATAAAACAGTAGTGGATCTTTTTAAACTTTGTAATATAAACGTGGGAGGGGAGAGAAAGAAATCTTAGTGATATGGTATAAAAAGTTTCCCAAGAAACTCTGGAAAACGTTTTTGAGACAAATTACTGTTTTTAGATAGGAAAAGTTCATCGCTAAGGTGGTAAAAGCAAAAATGACTGACAGGTGTGTTATACACATGTAACTGTCAACAAAATTAACATGAATGAAATTAACCCTTTAAGCTTTTACTATTTCTTCCATCTCTTTAACCAAAGGCATTGTTTAATAAGTCAGACATCCCACAAACACATCAGTCTTCTAGGCTCACTGTTCCCCCTGCTACCTTAGGGCATTTGCCGAGCTGCCTACACCACGGAGCATGGAAAAGCTAGCGCTAGTCATGGAACTTCCCTTACCTTGGCCCCGATCTGGTTACCACACTGGCCGATCTGAATGTGTACGATTTCACGCATCCTTGTTCTGCACACAAGTACAAGATCTTCAGAGAGTCCTCAGTCTCTGGGTGAGCTGTCTTCACCGCCGTGACTCCACGCAACTCTGGTCTCTGCAAAGAAGGGACCGGCTGACCAAGCGACCCTCCCAGTGGGACCCAAGGGTGTGTCTGGCCCAGAAGTCCAGCCCCAGCCCTTCTCTGTTCTCTATCATCCTTGTGAAGGGTGGCGGGGTGGGGGGTCGTTTTCCTCTCCCAACACAGAATACTGCCCCGTCATTTCCTAGAGTTCAAGACCAAAGGTCGCCTTTGTGCCCAGTGCCTGGAAGTCGGCCAAGGTGCCATGGTAGGTTCTGGGCACCAGTGCAGGCTCTGGGCTCACTCTGGTGACCAGGACCACCTCCAGAGAATATTCCCCATCCAAACCAGTTGTAGTCTTAGAAATCCTGTAGTCTAAAGTCAAGTCTTAACAGATGAGACCAGGAATCCCAGAGAGAGAAGTAACTTCACCACAGTCACATAGCCAGTATGACATCTCCCCCGCCTCCCTTCAGAACCTGCCATGGCTCCCATTGTCTCCATCCTAAGGACTACTCTGAGGTTTTTATTTTTCTGTTGTATACGATAATGTTAATAGAGAAAAAAACTAGTATTTAAAATAGTAAAAAGATAATAAGAGAAAGTTTACCTTTTGAACATGGCCTAATCTGTAAGAGTGACATGTGATTCTTAGGGAGTTTGGGAAACAAAAATCAAGAGAGAAAATCTGAACTCCCTAACTTGCCATCAAGACCTTTCCTAACCTGGCCCTAGACTTCCTTCCCAGAGTCCCCTGTGGTCCTGTGTGGTGAGGGTTCCAGAGACACCTCCACGCTGGACCACTGGGCTCTTGGCCCAGGACTGCACTTTCCCATCACACACGTTCACACAAGTGTCCACTCATCCCCTCCCTGCCATACCAAGGCCCTCTCTTCCTGCAAAATGTTGTCACTGTCCTGCCCGGCCTTCTGCCCGGTCAGGGTCTGGCTGCCCCTAGCCCTCCCTGACGCCACACTTTGTTGCCCCTTTGTTGTTGTCTCTTTGTCTGGGGTTCCTTGTTTGCTGTTGGTTCCTCTGCTGGATGAAGTCCCCCAGAGGCCAATGGACCCCTTGCCACATTTCCCTGATGCCCAGCAAGGGCTCCCCAAACCAGCCTCAGGCCCCATCACCTCTCACCCCTCAAGCTCCATCCTGACCATCAATTCCTCAACTGTGTACCTTTTCTACAGATGCTTCTGGTCCAAACTCAGCTGCAACTCCCCCACCCCCTGCCAAGTCGAAGAGGCCAACATGTAAATTCAAGAGGGAGAAATCTGCACGCATTTAGCAGGATTTCTCACAAATTAAAAAAAAAAAAATCTACGCAGGATGAACCTTTCGGCTTCCATAGAAGTCACCGCGCCCTCCCTCCCTGGTGCCTCCATCCCTTCCTCTTCCTTCTGTGCGCCCACCGGCGCTGCCCACCCTGCACCTGCCCGTCAGCCCCCTGCAGCTCCAAGGCAGCTGCGGGGCTGTCACTTCCCCAGGCCGTCCCCGCTGGCCCCGGCACTTCCGTGGCAGTTCCACACACGGTCGTGTTTGCTAATTACTTACACCCCTGCCTTATCTCCGCGCCCGCCCAGGGCGGCGGGTGTCTGTCGTTTCACCTTTGAGGCCCCAGAGTGCCTGGCGCACATAGCGCGGCCTCGGTCACTGCTGAGTGCGAACCAACCGCGGGGCAAGTCGGAGCCGCCTCGCTCAGAGCGGCAAGTTTTCTTGGGGTGGATAATGTATTTATTCACGAGTGGGTCCTAATGGGTGCAGTGGGGGAAGGGTGCCAAGGGCTTTGTCCTCTGTCCTCTAAGAGGTGGTCCAGGCTGAGAGTATGAACTGTTCCAAGCGCTGAGGATGCTGGGTCGTTCGTGGAGTCACCTCACGTGACATTTCGGTACCTTACGGGACACAGTGGCTGGCAGAGCTGCTGGGAGGGGCCGTGTAGGCTGCCGCGGGACCAGAGGGGCATCCTTGACTTTTTTTTTTTAATTGGAGGTACTGGGGACTGAACCCAAGACCTCGCCCACACTGAGCATGTGCACTACCCCCGAGCGCTACCCATCGCCCTCCATGATTCTCCCCCTGCCCCGGGGCATCCTTGTTCTCCCCGTGTTGAGTCTTTGCCAGAGGAGCAGGGTCCAGTGTCCTAGGTGGCCCCCAGCCTCCCCCTGGAGCACAGTCCTCTTGGTCACCTCAGTTTGCTCAGGGAGGGAAGATGCCAGATTTCCAGATGAGCGCTTAAAAGGTTTTTCTGTTAATGAGGCAGTTGGCTAAAAGTGGGGAAGAAGAGAAACCCTGTTTGCTTTGATGCTGGGCATGGCGGGCAGTGTTTACTCAGCCTCTGCGGCGTGTGCTGAGCTTTGCACGCTGCCAGGGGTGGAGTGTGGGGGCAGAGACCAGGCAGGGAGGCTGTGCGGGTCCTGGGCCCCGCAGGCCTGCAGCTCCGTGGGGCCCACCTCCCCTGCAAACCCAGGTCATCTCAGCTGTAAAGCAGGATAAGGGTCCCAGGCCCAGGCTGACTGTGAGGACCCAGCAGCCTGCAACACCCCTGGGTGGCTAGTGTTTTTCCAAGTCGGCTTCGCAGGATGGAAGGCCACGATGTGGCTGACCGTGTAGATGGCACCATCGCCCAGCACCCAGGTACGGAGCACTGACTACGTACCAGGCTCCATCTAGGCGCAGGCACACAGGGCCATCTGCCTGAGTTGAAAACGTCTGGGGAGCACAGAGTGGCAGGCCAGGCAGTGCCTCCTGGCTCTGCTCCTTTGTCCTTATTCATGAAGTTCCTGTTCCCCTAAGGACAGCCCCCCACCCCACCCCAGCTGACAGGTTAGTGACAGCCAGCGAGGTGGTGAATATCCAGTGTCTTTCTCGGGGCAAGAGAAGTGACCTCTTCCCGCAACACAGGTGAACGGTGCCTCTGGAGAGGCCGGCGAGACCCAAGGTCTGCTCTCCTGCCAGGCTGAAGGTGACCCCTTGCCCTGAACTGCAGCAAGTGATTAAAAGTGGCCATCGGTGATGAATGACAAAGTTGTCTTCTTCCCCTGAGAAGGGCTGCAGCCAAAGCAGGTCACAGTGACGTCGCTGGAGCAGAGCTTCCAGAGGGCAGAGGGCAGAGGGCAGGAGCAAAAGCCTCCCTGAGCAAGGATGGGGTGCCTGCCGCCTGGGGACACTGGGGTGATGACATACCACAGGCCCGCCCTCTTCCATGCAAGGAGCCATCTGTCCACGGGAGGAAGCGGGGTGGGGGAGCCGACCCCTTCCTGGATGATACTTGGGTCTATTATGGGAACAGAACCAAGATGATAAGAAAATCCCAGTGTCATCCAGAAAGCCCAGATCAGGTGCTGGCAGACTTCCCCCAGGAGATGTCCCTCAGGGGTCAGATGGCCCTCCCCCGACCCTCTATTTGACAAATGAAACATAATTAGGAGAAAAACAAAGTTCTCAGAGACTTCATTGATTTCATCCGCCCCGATCCTCCCTTCTGAGTGCACCGAAGTGCCTTGAATAACTTCGAGAAGATTGTCGAATTAGAGTGTTTGCTTGTGATTCAGCAGCAGAAATTTTTCCAAATGTCTTAGCAAGAAAATGACATCTGAGGGGCTATTATGAGTGACTCAGCGGGTGTGGGCAGATCATCAGATGAACCGAGTTCCCCTTTCTTGTGCTCTGCTTCGTTGTGTGTTCTCTCACTGGAAAAGAAAGTTCTGGGAGGATGAATAAGAAGCTGCCGGAGGAAGGGACTCGGAAGATATCACTGTTTTGCATTAAACCAGGCTGCCCAGCTATGCGGAGCTCTAGACCCCTGTCCCGCTGTGCTCCGCCGTCCTGGGTCCGCACCGAAGGCTCTCCACCCCTTTGCAGCTTTCAAGCCCAGAATGGGAACCCTGTGCCACCTCTTTGGGTACACTGAGAATCAGCGTCCTGGGCTGCGGCACCTCTGATTTAGAAGGAGGACACGCACTTCCCGGGAATGTATGTATGGAAACACTGACTTCTCAGCGGCATCTCTCCCATCTCCCAGGGTCTGCAGCCCCTGAGGAGCAGCGTTCAGCGTCAGACAGACAGAGGAGCATCACTGGGGGCAGCACCTGGAGCTGGAAGCAAACACAATGCATACACTTCTTCAAGCCCGAGGTTAGTCCAGGAAACCTCTGCCGTACGAGGCTCGGAAACCCATTGGTTTGTCCAACAAATATTGGCTGAGTGCTGTTCGGGGGCTCAAGGGACCTCGGAGAAGCAGAACCTGTGGGCCCTGCACGCAGGGCTGAGGGACCCTATCCACTGAGTTCCCTTGCCCTGGCCTTTCCTGAGTTCTCCACCCCGTCCCTTGCTTAGCCCACCTCCAAGCAGGGGCGGGGTTCTCTCCGCTGTGTAGAACAGCCTGAGGCTCCAAGAGGGAGCCGGCATGCTCAGGTCCCAGGGTAACTCGGTAGGACCAGAGACGGGGGCAGGTCCTCGGACCCCCGCCTCTGGGGGTGTGATTCGAGGTGTCAAGAGGCAGGCTGGCCAGAGGGCCTCCCGCAGGGCCATCCCTTCCCCTCTGGCCCATAACTAGGTCTGGCCAGCCCTGCCTCCAAGACAGACCCGCCCACCTTCAGCATCCCTCCAGCAGAATCCCTAACCCATCACCACCAGCTCTCCCATCCATGACCACGTGGTCAGCCTGGAACTGACGACCACTCCTGTCTCCTTCCCTCCGTCCTCCTTCCATCCGCCCATCCTCCAGTGGGATCTCATAAAACATCGGGACCTGACCCACCGTCCTCCGGAGAGGAGTCCTGCACCCAGAGGACAGGGGTGAGTTTACGGCCACTGGGAGCTCTCAGTGACCTCGGCCAGCCCACCTCTTCTCCCCCCACCTCTGCTGCCAAGCCCCCATGTTCCCCACCTCCACTTGGTCATCCTTCTAAGTTTGCATTTCAAAGCCGTTCGAAATGCTCTGCCTTCTGCTTGAAAAGTCCAGCACTGTCCAGGGCTGTGTCCTCATCTGTCAATCCCACTCATTGGAAGGCTGAGAGGACCCCGGCTCAGCACATCCCCTTGATCTGTTTCCAAGCACGTCCAACCTCCAAGCCTCTTCCCATTTCTGCATGTCCCCTTACCAGCGTGGTCCCTCCTGACAGGCAGGGGCTTAACACTGCCATGTCCCCGGGGCTGGGACACTGGTCTAGCACATACCAGATATCTAGCAGTGCTTGCCAACCACCCGACTTCAGAGAATGAATCGGGAGAATGACCAAGGCTGCTCAGCAAGAGCTCCTGGCCAGCCAGTGGGTGGACTACATGTGGCCTGCCGGGCAGTGGCCAGCGTGTTCGGAAGGTGATACCGATGGGCCAGCCTCATGGATGTGACCCCCAGGAGTTCCCTCCCAAGCGAGGCCAGGAGAGGGTGCGGTCACGGTGGCTTTAGGGGATGGTGGCAGGGGCCACCCCACACCTGACCCACCTTCACTGCAAAGGTGTCTGGGAGGCGGCATGAGCATCTCTCTGCCCCAGTGTCCACCTGGATGGAGGGGAGCCTGCAGCCGGTGAGGAAGCCGTGGTGCCCTGCAAAGCCAGACCTGCCTGCCAGCCCTGTCAGCATCCAGGAAAACAAACCCCCGGTCTCCAGGATGTGGCTAAACTCAAGAATGTAGAATCACAGGAAATGTGTGTGGCCTGCCGGGTGGGAGCCAGACAGCACAGCCCGAAGGAAGAAGCAAGGAGAGGACTTGGGGGCGACTCCACAGTCGACACTCACCCCATCTCCTTCCCCTGCAGGTTGGGAGAGGAGGCTGGCCCCGGCCTCACTGTAAAGTGTATGTGTTCTCAATCGGGACAAGGGGGAGAAATCCACCCGACTTTTAGAAATGAATAGGCTTTTGGGTCATGGCCTTGGGTCAGGGGTTTGCCAGAAGACTTTTCAGGATGTTAAAAAAAGAGACTAGATTCAAACCTGGCTCCCCCGCCTCACCCTGAGCCTCACACTGAGTACAAGTGTCTTGACCTCTCTGGGGCCTCAGTCTTCCCATCCGGAAAATGGGTGACAGCGTCTGATCCCAGCTCACAGTGTTGTGCCAAAGATCAAACTAGAAAAAGACTTTCCCAGACTGGAGAGTCTTCTAGAATGTCACTGCAGCTGCCTTCCAGGTACGACTCAGTTCCCTGCAAACTCCCAGTCGGTTTCCCAGGGAGAGAGTTTTGTCTTGGTTTTAGGGAAGAGTGTGAGCCTCAAGCGTGTACTGGCTGTGCTTGGCCTGGGACAGGGACACATGCGGCGTGGGAGATAGCTGTCCGGGCTCAGCCCCGGGCCAGAAGGGCTTCAAAGGGCAGCGGTTCCCAAGGCCTTACCCCGAGGAGTGTCCTCTGTTCCAGGCAGATAAGATGAGTCATGAGCTGCAAAATGCCCTCACAGGCATGCAGAGCCACGTCAGGAAGGGACACAGAAGCCTCCAGGTCTGCAGGGGCCCGAAACCTCCATTCAGGTGCACCTGCTTTGAAGAGAGATGGGCGGGCGGCTGGGGCGGCCGGTCCAGCCTGTTCTCTGGAGTGTCCTTCCTCTTCCTCCATCCCAGCAGCCTTTGAATGACATCTGTGTGCCGTTCAGAGAGCTCCCGGGGCCAAACGCCCTTGGCTAACAGCTGGGCAGGGGCCGAGGCTCCCCCCGATCCTGCGGTTGGGTCGGCAGCCACCTCCCTCAGCAGAACATGTTAGGAAGCACAGGGCAGTTTCAGTCACCCCCAAAGTGACACAGTCAGCTCACCCTCGGAGCCATCAGCCAGGACCACAGCCAAATTCAGAGGTGAAGAAAGGGCCCAGGTGCTTGGCTTTGTGTTTCGTACCCGTCAGTAGGGGCTGAAGAGGTGGAGTGGGTCACATGAGAACTCATTCACTTCTCCCTGCCTTGAAAGTTGTGGTTTCAGATGTCTGGACTCCCTCCCCCTCCTGCCTGATTTTTTCATCACTCTGAGTCTCAGTCGCTTCTAGGGCAGGGAAACCCTGGTGTATCGCCATCTGTCAATTCTGGATGTCCTAGTCTTTACCAGTCTGAAAATGTCACCATCCCTCCCTTTCACCTGCCTCCTCCAGGGCCAATGACCACCCCCTCTGCTGTCTGACCCCTGCTGCAGGCCCCCACCTGTTGTGGCCAGATCATCAGGCAGGCCCAGCTCTGGAATTTGCCTCTCAAAACAAAAACCAGGGGCCTCATGAAGCCTGATATCTCGTTAAGGTCTTGAGACCCTGTGTACTGGCAGGAGTCACACGCCTGTGAGGCCGGCCCTGCCTGTCGGAACACCTAAGCGCATGGCCTTCCCTGAGAGCCCCAGGGCACCTGCCTACCATGCTGGTCTCCCAGCTCCGCAGGGACAGAAAAGCTTGCTACGGGGCTGTTTTCTCCTGGCATCAGGGGTGCGGCCCTGGCCCTCGCAGCCCCAGCTTCAGAGGCCAGGCCCGGGGGCCGTCTGTTTCCCGTGTCGTAAACCCCGCGATTAGACTCTGCACCTCGGGGGCCCTGACAGCCTATGAGGACTCGGGAGTCCCCACGACATTTGTCACTGGGCAGTACTGTGACCACTTCGGTCATTCTTCAGCAACTGTGAGCTTTTAGCCTTTTTTTTAGAAAAGACCAAAACCCCACCTCTTAGGAAGACCCCAGCTGGATGGCGGGTGTCACGGGGCCGGCGTTCTTCCTCCTGCGGACCACCTGATCAGCTCTCCTTAGCCGTGGAGGGCGGAGGCGTGGGAAAGGGCAGCCTCAGCTGGCAGCTCCCCACGAGGGAAGCGAAAGGCTTTGGGGCCGGGCCCAGTGCACCTGCGGGGGAAACCAGCCTCTGGAGACCTGGTTCCCATGCCCCCAACCTCTCCACTCAAACCCCAGCGTTTTCTCACCGTGTGGGTGGCCGCCCCATCCCGCCTCCTAACCAGGAACTGACTGGCACTAAGGGCTCGGAGGAGCCGACTTTCCAGGAAGATGAAAGACACCTCAGGGGGTAAAACCGGAGTCTAAGCTTTGCCTCAGTGATGGCATTTCAGGAGCCAGGACAGCCCTGCTGGGATTCCGTGGTCACCTCAGCGCTTCCATGGGTGGTCATGGAAATTGCTGGAAGTACACAAGACAGACACTGATTTCTGATTGCAGGCTTGGCACTGGCAGGGGGACAAACAGGGGTGGGGTCCAGGTGGGGTTGGCAGTGCCTGTTAGTCCCCGGGAGAGAATTCTCTCCTCTGAGGACCCTGTAGCAAAGGCTGTGGGCCCTAAAACAAAATGCCTGATCCCCTTCCTTCCAGGACGAGGGAGGCCAGTCTGTGGCTGGTTCACATGACCACCACCCCGGTAGAACTCAAGGAAGGGAAACTCCTGAGTTACGAAACCAAGGCCCCGGGGGCTTGTTGGGGGGGGGGTCCCACTTCTGCTTTGGGCTCTCCGTGTGGAGATGAAAGGCTTTGTTAGCAGAAACCTTGCTGAGCAGCTTTGGAAGCTGGAGCGTAGAATTAATGATTCATGTGTCAAGTGACATTTTCCTTTAGGGGCACTTTCTACAAGGCGCCTGCCTCCCCAGCAAGGGCCTGGGACCTCCAGAAAGGGTGTCCATAAGGAAAGATCGGGGCATAATTCTGCGGGGACAGCGGCCTCCCCGCCCAGGACTTGGGGAGATCCCTGCCCACCATTCCTGGGAGGCCTGGGTCCAGGTGGGATGAAGACAAAGGTGGCAGCCTCTCCCGGGCGCAGCGTCCCAAGAATCCAAGGACCCTGAGAGTGAGTGAGGTCTGACTGCGATGTGCTCCGTGGGAGGCGAGCGGCTGGCGGTGGGATCAGGTCTGCGGTCCGGCCCGAGGGCCTGGCGCGTGACCCCAGTCGGGCGGCCCTGCGGGCGTGTGGGCGGGCGGCCGGCCAGGCCGGGCGGGGCGGGGCCGGGTCACCGGGGACAGGAGCGCGTCCCGCCCCGGGGGAGTGTCCCGCCCGGGCGCAGCCACCTTAAGGGCCGGGCGGGGCGCGGGCGGAGGCCGACGGAGGGGTGCTCGGCGCGGGATCTGAATCGGGGTCCGGAGCGGCATCGGCGCGGGAGCCATGGCGTCGGCCGGGCCGGCGCGGCCGGGGCCGCCGCCGCCGCCGCTGCTGCTGCTGCTCGTGGTGCTGGCGGGCGCGGCGCGGGCCGGCCTCCACTTCCGCCCGGGCGGCAGCTGCTACCGGCCCCTGCTGGGGGACCCGCTGACCCAGCTGGGGCGCAGGTCGGCGCGGCTTGGGGGGCTGCCCATCTCGCGGGGCTTCGCGCGTGCTCCCGCCTTTAGGGGCCCCCGGCGCCTCCTCGGGATGCGGGGAACAGGGGCGCCCTGCCTCCCTTGACCTCTGAGGGTCAAATGCAGCGCCTTTGCTTTGGGGATGCGCTCTCCTACACTGGCGGGTTGGACCAGCCCCACCTGTGCAGACAGCAGATCGGCCGGCCGCTCATGGGGCCCTGCCTCCTTCTTACTCCCAGAGGGCGGGGGTCGCCTGGTGTGAGATGGTGCACTCCCACTCCCTCTCATGTTGGGGAGGGGAGAGGGTTCTGGGGAGCGCTGCCTGGCCTCCACCCCCACACCCAGGAGCCCTACTGCTAATTCTGTTGGTGGTGGTCTGTTCCCAGGACATACCCCCGGCCTCATGAGTACCTGTCTCCATCTGATCTGCCCAAGAGCTGGGACTGGCGCAACGTGAACGGGGTCAACTATGCCAGTGTCACCAGGAACCAGCACATCCCCCAGTACTGCGGCTCCTGCTGGGCCCACGGCAGCACCAGCGCCATGGCGGGTAGGTAGGGGGCCCATGGCCCCTCGACTGTGGGCCAGAAGGGCCTGTCCAGCTGCCTTCATGTCTGCACACATGGCTGCAGCCCAGGGTCCCAGAGGACTGTGTTTCTATGCCAGTGCTGGGCCTGGGATGGGGTGTCTGAGCCTCTCAGGCCTAGGGGAGCTGACCTAGGGGAGGCCTCGGTGACGCGTGCCGTGTGGGGCAGGCCTCCCTGGGCCCAGTGGGTGGCCAGCAGTCACAGGACTGAAGCCCAGTGACGAATGGCTCCCAGGGCCTTTCCTCTCCCACCTCGGCCCCTAGGGATCAGACCGCAAACTCACTAAACCCTTTGCTGGTGTTTGGGGAACGGAAGTGAAGCCGATTTTCAGCCTGAGTGAATATTTGAGAGAATGTCTATCCTGGGCTTGGAATATTGAGCCAGGCTGGCCGTTTTCCCGTTGGGACCTTAGCCATCCAGCCACAGCGAGGGTAGGGAGGCTCGTGGCCGATAAGAAGGGGGAGAGTCCGTGCCTCCCTGGGCTGCCTTGGGAGGGATGGGGGTGAGAGGCTGAACCCCAGCCTAGGCTTTCTTCTGCCGCAGGCCGGCCTGGCGGCCTGGGGGTGGGGGGCTCTGCCATCTCCAGCCTAGGGTTCCCGGAGCCTACAGACATGCTGAAATTCCCCCGCAGAAGAGACTCCCTGACTTGGGTGGCTCATAGGGCAGGCCTGCTGTAGGTGTGGCCTTGTGTTAATCAGATGAACAGCAGTGTGGCCACTGTCCCGGCCAAGGCTTAGGGCTCAAGCAGTATGCCAGTTAAGCCTCCCAGCTGCCCTGTGTTTGCTCCCACTTTGCAGATGAGGAAACTGAGGCTCCTGGCAGGGAGAATTGGCCATGGTGTGAGTGACAGCTGAGAACAGAGCCCAGAAGCCTGGGCTTTGGGCCAGGACCTCTGCTGGGCTGTCTTTAGGGTGAGGAGTCGGGATGGGGTCTGGAACCCAGGGCTGGCCAGCTGTAGCTAGGGCATCTGGTGGGGTCTCCCTGGTGGCCCTACTGGTCTTTCTTGGGGGCTGGTGAGGAGATCCCTGGGGCTGGATTGTACTTCTGACCCTTCAGGGAGAAGGAGGAAGGGGCCGGTATTTGAAGGTGCTGGAGCGCTTAGGGGCAGACTGGGGTGGAGATGGATGGGCCCTGGAGAATGTGGAGCCACTGGCAGACTTTGGGCAGGGTGTGGGCAGGCCTTGAGGCCCTGGGCAAAGGCTGGGCAGGAAGGCTCCTGGGTCTTGAGGAACTGAGAGGGCCTTGTGGTGAGGCTTGGGTGGGGTGAGGGGGAAGCTGAAAAGGTCACCAGGGGCCCTACCCCCAGGGGAGGAGCCTGTCAGAGCCTCAAGGGCTCTCCAAGAGGGAGTCACAGGCCAAGGTTTGCTTTTGTCAAGGAGGGCGGGGCCGGGAGGGGATGGCCCAAGCCCTCCTTTGACCTGGTGCCTTTTCAGAGGTCAAACCTCCACTGACTGCCTCGAAATCTCCTGGGCAGATGCCTGCTTCTCTCCTCTCTCCTCAGACCTCTAACGATTTCCCTGCAGCCAGCATCTTCTTCCTCTTTAACTGAGAAAATAGAAACTCCCAGAAGGGGACTTCCACGGTGCCCGGCCCAGCTGCCACCTCACTGGCCGGGCTCCTCTCATCCCTGTGTGTCTGACATCTGAACCACCGCCCCCCTCAACCCCCCACCCTGGGGGCTGGGACCCGGCCTTCGCTGAACAAATGGGCAGGGGGCCTCGATGCCACCCCCTTCCTGCCGCCACCCCATTTCTGGGCTCCTAGAAGTGTCCACAGGTTCTGTCCTGGCCAAAGTCACCAGCATGGGGCTGCATGTGGCAGGGCCAGTGGTCACCCTGTCCCCATCCTGCTTACACCCTCCCCACCAAAACGCTTTCCTCACCTTTCACCTTCTCCCTCCCTCCCTGGCCGTTCCTTCTGTCCCTTCACCAACTCCTCATCCTTTCAACTTAACCTCTGGACACCGGGTTCCCAGAACCCTTCATCTGGACCCGATCTGTGCACCCACCTGCCACCCTCCCTCCCGCTTGGACACCTGACACCTCCAACCTCACAGGCTCGTCCTTCCACAACCCCCTTCACCCCCAAATCAGTTCTCCCCTGGCCTCCCCACTCACACAGTGAGACCGCCATCCTCCCCTGACTCAGGCCAAAGCCCAGGGGCTCCTCAGCATCCAGTCCCACTCACCCATTAAGATGCCCCATGCGTGCTCTTGCCGGAGCTACCTGACCAGTCCCGCTGCTGCCCCCTGGCCGCCCTGCCTCGGGCCTCGA